CCCCGAGCGTCACCCCACAGGCCCACGTCCTGCCCCACAAACAGGCCCCCCCTCCAGCACCCCCACAGGCCGCATTTCTTACTGAGAAGCTGATGGAAGACCCAAGTAACGGAGCTGTCCCACTGACACTGGAAAAACGCCAGCCCTGCCGGGGTCATCGCGTCCTCGTGCTTCCTGTAGAAGTCAAACGTGCTGAAGGTTCGCATCTTGAGGCTGTGGCTGGAAACAAAGACACAAGCACGAGAGCTGACGTGAACCTCTTCTCCTGCAGCACCCTGGTAGGCAGCTACTTCCCCACATCACCCCAGAGGCTATAAAACCGAGGGGGAAAAGGAATTCACCAAAAGAACACCTCCCAGCTTCTCCAGCTCTGTGCACATTTCTGCCCCAGGCGGGGTAAACCACTTTCTTAACAGCCTGTTCTAAAGCACCAGGAACCCGCAGTGTTTGCAGGGCGGGGATTGCAGCTTCAGCTGACATACAAACTCAAAGCAGCCCCGAACAACTCTGCAGATTAAAAGGCACTGCTCCCTTGCAGCCGTAACAAGCACGTGATCATAACCAGCAGGAACAGCCAAGCCAAGTGAATGGAAACTGCCCAGTGAAAGCCTGAATTACCACGGCACCGGCCGAACATCCTCGCTGAAATCTATGGGGCAGGCTTGCTTGAAGAGGAGGAAGATGAAGCGATGGTAGCCAGTTCCCACGGCAGGGAAGGGGGGCAAGTAATGGCAGATCTCCTTCCCCGACTTGACGTCGTTGCCTGGGATGTTCGTCCTGAACACAAAGAAGTTTATTTCGCTACAGAGCCATCCATTTCCCTCCATTAGGGCCAGCAGATTCACCCAGGATTGCAAATCACTCCGTGCTACGTTTCGACACGGCTTACGCCCCGTTTGACAAGCGAATGGGCAGCAGGGGCTGCTTCCACCGGCAGAACAAAACCACACCCAGTGACCTGAATGCCAAACAGCAGCAACACCCGGTGCTACTGCATCTTTAGCAGGACCCAGAACGCAGGGGTAAAGCAGGTAACGGCAGGAACACCAGAGAAAGGCCCAGAACTGCCTCAGCGAACGCTTCTTCCCGAGCTCTGCCGGAGGAGCTCCTGCCCGCCCCGCCTGGGCATCCCCTGTGCTAGGCAGCGCGCGGCCCTGATGTACTCACACCAGCCAGTGGAGGTACTCCGAATCCGTGTCCCTGAGATGTCCATCTGCAAACACAGCAGAGAAAGGTGACTGAGGGACACCCTGGTGTTTGCCTCGACCCCCAAGGGAGAACGCCCAGACCCGCTCTGAACGGAGGGGACGGCTCGAGACCTCCCAGCATTCCCTTCCGAGCAGAAAAGTAGCTCGTGGGATGGAGCTTAAGATGAGGAGTAAAGAACAGTACAGATGTCATTCCAAGGTTAAAAGGACTTTGTGGTCAGCTGCTTCACTTCACTGCGCCTTGGCTTCTCAGGGGGAACAGCAGGAGCTAACCCACCGCCCAGGCAGACTGCCGAGGCAGAGAGGAGTCTGGGGGTAAATAAAAGGTGGGAGTCAGGGAGTTGTTTCCCCTGCACTGTGACACAGGCCCTGGTGCATCACTGTCCCATCTCTCAGCCGGTCGAGATTTGGGGACGCTACAATCTTCCCTGCATACATACTATGTCCATGCTTAGCAGATGTCACATCATCTCTGGCTGTGCAGCCAAAAGAATCAGGAGCTAACCAAAAGCAGAGCAAAACAACCCAGTTTAAACACGTTGGTTTTTTTTTAAAGAACTCGCTATTCACCTGGATTTGTGAGCAACAAAGTCCAGAGGGAGCTTTTATCTGCCTCGTATGACACTGCAGGGGAACGGGAAGCCTAAAAGAGCAACACAAAGAGAACACAAACCCCTCGAACAACAGGTTCCATTAAGACCAGATGACGATTTCCAAGGCAAAGAACATGAACTTGTCACGGGCACAGCCAGGACACAACACAGGCTGGGCGCTGCCACGCCGCTGAGTCACCCAGGAGAGCCCTTGGGGCGTTAATAAACACCAGCCTGATGAGAGACAAGGATCCTGTTGCAAAGCTCTGTCCTTATCATGCTCGAGAAACATATTTCCTTCATCACAGAGGAAACACCCTCGCAAAAGAAAGCCCCCAGCACGAACAATGCCCATCAGAAGCATCTGACAGAAACACATGGGCTTCCCACGGGGCCGAGGTTGTTCCCAGCTCTCCTCACACACCTCTGACGGAGTCACCACGTTCCCATAGTAGACTGGCACAAGGTGTTCGTCTTCTTGGCTGTACTCCACCCTCAAGGGAACCCAGGGGGTGAACGTGGCCCCCTTGAACAAGTCACGAAATATCCCGCAGTGCTCCGCCACGCGCTGCTTGTGGAACGGGCCGCTGGTCTTCTCCCAGTCAGCTCTGACTTGGTTGAGGGGAATCAGCACTGCAAGGGAAGAGCAAGGCTGCGGGAGGCAGCTGGGGGCCCAGAGCCCCCGGGGCAGGGAG